GAAAGAGGTAAATGTGTGTAGCAGGGCTAAGAGATGACTAGAGTACAATAAAAAGTTAATTCTATCTGTAGGATAAGCAGTAAGAAAAATAGAAATATTTAAGGTTACAGAAAGAAGACTATTTATGGACCATGAGAGAACCACTCTAGTGATGAGATACACTGGATTGTGAGTGGTGTGAAAACAAAGCAGCAGAGTCTGGGCCTTTGGCATTTCAGCTGTCAATCAGCTGAGAACCACTGATCTGGTAGCTGACTTGAACTCCAAGCAGATCACTTGCAGGATGAGGACATCAGCTTCCTATGGAAGACTGCCCAAGTTCAGCTCTTTTTTAAGGAAGGTTACCTTTCTTTTGTACTCCGGAGGTAAGGAAATATTTTGTTACCTTATAGAATATCCATGATGATAAATTATTACTGAAAATCCTAGGTACCATTAAACACTTGCTTTGAAGGCAGTTCCTAGCTGTTATTGCTTTAAATCTGAGATAGGAACAAAAGGTTTATGAGATTTACATACAAAGCACATTCAACACCAAATTTCATATAGCCTTTTTCGATCCTCCCATTAGCAGAATGTTGTCGCTTTGGCAGCATGTATAAGAATGGAGGAGTTCTGAAAACCTAAAGAACTGATTCGACATCCTGTGTATTGAGTTCCAGATGACAATATTTTTTGTGCCTATACAGTTCTTGAAATCCAAAGAAAAAAGCCAAAGTCCTGTGTGAGGTATTACGTACACACGCCCAGAAATGCAATTACTGGGTAGCAGTGGATGGGTAGCAGCTGCTTGGCAGACCAAGTAGGTTTGCCTGTGCACGAAGAAGGGACGACAGAGGGAGCTGTAATAAGTACAGCAGGTTGGAGAATACAGGTTAAGGTCTGGCAAATGTGGGAGGACGTATGCTGCAGCCTGTGCACTGCACTGGCAAACAGCCTAAGGGCAAAATCTCATGTAAGGACACAGCAAATGTTAAGGGCAAAGTGCAGTTTTGAGATACAGTACATGCTCACTGTAAATGGCACTGCTGAGGTCTAATGCTTGTATGACTTTACAAAGAATGTCGAAGTCCATGATTATAAATATCAACAACTCCATGGACAATTAGGTCACATATGGGGAGATGCAGGCCTTGAAATAGCTTTCTACTGGAAGAGAAAAGCTATCTGCCTATTATGTCTGGTGACAGTTTTTCCGGACTTTTTTTTTTTTATTGCTCCTGGTGGGGGGCAGCTCTGCCAGTGTTGAGCTTGTGGAAGTGAATGCCTCTGCTCCACAATACTTGCCTGCATTTGGAAACTTCCACCCTGATGTTGCTACAGCACAGCTGATATCCATCTTTCCAGTTCAACCTGTGAGGACTCTCCCTGCTAAGCAGCCTGGTTACAGCACACGCAAGAACACATTTCCCTCAACGTGCAAATTCAATTTGGAATTGCTGGAGATTGATATTGCTGTCCAACGCTATAAACTCTAATTGTGTGGGAGAACAAATTTGTTTTTCTGACCACTCGTCTCTGACAGACTCATTATTTTGTCATAAAGCAACTGAAATGATATTTTTGGCAGTTACATAAGGCGCAGGAAGCACTCTGGCGTGCTGAAGGAGCAGTGCTGTTGTAGTGGGAGCCCTGGGTGCGCTGTGTTCCTCACAGACTCTATTTACATACAGACAACTGACATTAAAATGCTGTAAATATCACCAAGGTAATTGCTAATAGCGTGCTGACGCTCTCGCATGGGAGTGCCAACCAACAGACTGGGGGGCACGTGAGAGGATCGTTGATGTTGAAGAGATCATTCATGAGAAAGAAAGACAAGAGAAGCTCTTTGATACATTTTTAACAACTAGCCATATGTTCCTCACTTAGAAACATCTTTGAATCATTCTAGGTCATTGCCAAAGTTTGGAAAATCAACTTAAAACCAACTTGGAAGACTTCTGCCCAGACCCTTTGCTTTTACATGCCACGAGTCGGCTCTCTGCTCCCAGGTAAACAAAGCCTGAACTTGCAGAGGAGTTGGTATGTTTGCTCTTCACGTTCCTGCCCACATATTGTAAAATACCATTTTACTGCACAGTTTTAATTAGGCATTTTAAAACACTCTTAGGAATGTTAGGAGCCTTAGTCAGCTCCTCGGTGCTAGCAACTACTTCCAGCACCTTGTTACAGTGGTCCTAAAGGGCTCGGCCATGCTTTTCATGACATCAGATGTGTTAAGGCTGTCATCTACATTATGCCTCTCAAGCTTACTAATGACCTTAAAGCAGCTTCACCAGTGAGAGTTCTAATATGATCTAGACAAAGATGAAAATTCCACATTACAAACAGATTTGAAGTAGAGGAGAAATGTAGGTTGAGAAAGTGAAAGTCAAAATATAAGCACCCTTACAATATACCATGAAGTCTTTTGGGTAAAACCAGCTTTGCATTATTTTTCAGATTTTAAATTTTTGACTCTTATGAAGCAAATTCAGCATAACTTGAGAAACTGTATGTACAGGTAAATTACAAAACTTTTGCACCATTGAGTGTGCAAGGTAAACAACATGAAAATACTCAGATAAGTCTGATTTTCCTTTAATTTTTTCTAACAACTGGAACATGTTTTCACATTTGCTGAATATTATTATTCATTATATTGTAAGATTTTTCCATGTCATGTCAAAAAAACCCCACAAAGTATGCTGGTCCTTATCCTAATTTCCAAAGCTTAATAGATTTTGTGGGGATGAAAACAAGTATAAAGGATACTGTCGTGAAGAAATAAAATGACTGCTGGCCAATTTATTTCTGTGAGGATGCAACAGACAGTGAGAACACGCTTACATAAAAGTGATAACAAGACAATTACTGCAATCTCTGCTACCAGTGCTCACTGTAGGGACCATCTGAAGAAGTTCTGAGCTATAAGGGTAAAAAAAAACAACCTAAGGAGGGTTGACAATCAGAAAATGGCATGGGTTGCTGGCTGCAAGTAGTATTGCTGAACAAATGTTCATGTGAAGTAGAAAAGTAAACTCTGGTTTCTATTCTCTTTTTTTTTGATTCATATGAATATCTCAGGTCCACACTGCTGTAAGGAATCAAACTCCAAAGAAGGTACTACATATTTTTCTGGAATTTAGAAACAAGATCCCTGCGGTCTGCTGGTAAAATGTAGACACTGTAGTGAGAGTAATGAAATGTGAGTCCTCTTTTTCACTTGTTTATTTCTGGAAATGCCTTCTGCTGGTCACCAGTCTTTTTCCCTGTCCTTTTCCCTGAATTTATCTAATACATCATAATCTCCCACTGAAAAAAAAGTCCTTTGTGGAATAGGGCTAAATCAATAATAAAGAATAAACAAATTCAGTAATAACAAATATAAATTTGTATAGGTAGATATATTATTCTTTCATTTGCAAAGCAAGGACTAATGTTGGATCAGGTTTTTAAGCTTCTTAAATCTGTAAGTAGCTTTGTGGCTAGAAAAGAAGTTTAACCTGCGCTCAGTAATCCTGCTGCACCTTAGTACCTTAGAATCCAGAGATTTACAGAAGCCTCTTCAACTTTATTCTTCACTGTTTCGTTTTCACTGCTAAATTCGGGAGGAAATTGAATTAGACTCCCACAGGCAGTATGGAAAATTGGGGAAAATAGCTTCTTATTCTCCCTCAGCTGAATATATCTAGTGGGGAACAGCAAAGCCTAGGCACAGAACATGTTTGCTTTGCTTTCTCAGTGGCCTACTTCCAAGCAGTTCGGAGAGCTTGAAATTAAAAAAAAAGCCAACAACAAAATCCAAAAGGGCAGCATAATTCCCTTTCCCGCAGTCCCAAGGCTCACAGAAAGCATTCAGGGCATAGTATTGCCCATTGTTTGCACTAAGCCAGCCCAACATTAAGAGAATGCAAGTGCTAAATTTAATATAAGATTTATTGTGTTCATAAGCTAGTAAACATTTCTATATACTATCAAGTAAATCCTGGCCAATACAAGTAAGAACTATCAGATCACTACAGACCAATTTATATCTCAACCTGTATTTGATTAGTACATTGTCTGATAGATGCACACTGTCTTCCTTCTGAAGGGAAACATTAGTGGGGCAGGTCCTTCTGCCTTGCTGCTCCTTTTCCCCTGCCACTTTCACACAGAGGGCCACAAGCTACCATACCTTGCCAAATAAACTGTAAATGTTTCTGAAATGCAGTAGTTTACCAGATGACATCCTTCCAGACAATCAGAGGCAACTGAAAATGTTTACAGGCTACATCAACAGCACTCATCACAAACACAGAAAGGAGGAGGCAGTAATACTGAGTAAATACTGAGGAGCAAACTCCTCAGTATTTAAGCATGTGAAACTGTTCTGATTTTGTGGCTAGATAAAAAATGTTACAGATCAACAGATATGAAAATATTCGCTTTCTTCAGTCTCTTAGATCCAAAGTCTAAAAATAATCCACTGTTGCTTATGTCTAGTAGAACAGAACAGCTAATTCTGAGTTATTTCAGTTTACCACATAAAAAAATACTCATCCTTAATATTAAATACTTGGATAAACCTAGCCAAGTGGAATGGGCACATGCTTTTTCTAACTTTGATTTCATATTCTCTAAGTGTTAAAGCAGAAATAAATGTCTGAACATATACCCGCTGTTAGCTGCTGAAGAGAACCAACTTCCATTCCCTTCCTAAACATTCATTTTTGCTTTTTTTTCTTCAGAGATATTAGTTTTCATTGAAATGTGTCAATAAAGAGAGTGGCTATAAAATCTGCTAGGGTTTGCCAGCAGCATATTCTGCAAATAATTTCACTCGTGAACACAATTTGCCAGATTCTTAGCTGATGTAAATCCATCTGGCTCCTGTAGATTCAATGAATTTATGTTAGTTCGCACTGCCTGAAATGAGGCCTAATTTGTTTCCAGCTTTCATTCATATTATCCTAGGCTTGGTGGCTGTATTTTTAGATAATGGCAGATAATCTTTTTATAATTTTCACTGGCAGGTCCAAGATCTTGAATAAGCCTGGGATGGAAACTGGGAGTCAGTGGAAGATAAGGAGCCCAGGTGTGATGTGCTTAGAGACAGGACTGCTGAGAAGGTAGGATGCTTTACATTGTTTCTATGCATCTATTTTGGTCTAATTTTTAACTTCAGAAATAGGAAGCTTTTCTTATCTACATGAAGGATGCTGAATGGGAACAATGGCAGTCATGTCTCTCTCAGAGTGGAAGCAAAATCTCTCGCTAAGATGAAGACCAATAATGACAGTTTCTTCCAGTGCTACCAACTGATCATTTAACACTAGTGGTTGTTTGGTAGGTTCCCAGACTACCAAGGAAGAATTGAGATGTACTTAGAGTTTATATCCACTGCTTTTTCTCAAAAATTAGTTTTTCTTTTTTCTTCTCTCTCGAGATTTCCTTCTTTCTCAATGGAATCTCTTTAGTCTCACCCACTAAGTTGCTTTATTTCACACTACAATCAATGTCTTGATACATGGAAGGGATGAGATGGCAGAGGGGGAAGCATGTGTTGCAGAGGTACTACACAGCTAAGGTGTTCTGAGTTGTCATGATGTATCTCCTGTTTTCATTGGTTTGCTCCAACTATCAAGAAAAGCTAGGAGACACTAAAAACCTGAATAACCTCACTTCCCATACTGCTGTGTATTAGAGAGACAAAGGCTACTGGGACAGGAATGCACTCTCTCTCCACCAGCTGGAATAACAAAGTCTGCTTGGCAGTACCCTGCCATAATCCATCTGATAGTGCAAAGAAGTTAAGAAGCACAGCATCTGAGATTTGACAACTGCTCATTGCTATCAGGATATTAAGGAAGAAAAGATTTTATTATTTTAAATTTTTTGCTGCTGTCCAATATCCTGCTTAGCCAGCCTTAATTTGCCATCCATTATTAGGCAGTAAGGCATTATCAACAAGTCTATAGACACAAACAGATACCCAAAACACACTTTCTGTTTTAATTGCTATAATACCACCTGAGAGAATTTAACCACTTTATTACAGCAAGTGTAAAAGTCTGTACCGCAACCTGGTAGATTTTTAAGAATGTGGCACACAAACCTCAGATAAATGACAGATCAATATATCATTGCAAAGTTTTATAGCTTACAAATTTAAAAACAGAAATTAAGAAGTCTTTAGGAGTCACTGTTCGTTTTCTTTTCTCCCGATACAAATCTGAACATTAGACTGGAAATTCCCAGCATTTTACTAATGTGCATCACCACTTTTAACTTTATTGAGAAACCAATTTTCCTGGGTTTAATTTAATTAATAAATACCAGTCTTACATCTGCTCAGCAGCAATCCCAAGAAAGCTGCTCTAAGATGCTAGTGATTACACCAAACTTCCTGTCTTTATTTGTAAGTAGTATTTCACAGCATCAGCTGCCAGCTGGTATCCTGAATTCTTTTTCTCAGCACAACACTGAAAAGGAACAATTTGTTGTGTGGGAGGTCTAGAATTGTGGTCATTAAATTACCATCCAAGCGGACATGCCTACAATACCATTCAAAAATGTTTAACTGTCTGCAGTGGGGGAAATTTTATTCTCTCACGCAGCAATACCCTAAAGTGGGCTGTTACAAATTTGTGTCCACAATCGATGTTGGATGGACCTGACTTAAGCAGAAATACCTTTACTTTAAGCTTAGAGAATGACTCAGGGTGTAGCACCTATTGTGTCACAGTAGGGAATAAAGTATTTTCATGAGACATTGGCAGGAGAGCAGCATTTCTGCTACGTGAGAAACAAGCAAGGTTAATTTCATACTGATTTTGGTAACTTTTTGAGAACTATAATAGAGAAAAGCAGCATAAAAATATCCATGGTGCGCGCAGAATTCAACACCAGGGAAACCAGTTCTGTGAAGCAGTACATCTGCTGCTCTTTTCAAAAGATTTTAAAGCATTTCTGTTTAAGAGACCTCCCATGGACTCATTTAAAAGCTCAAATGTGCCCCTAGTAGTCACTGCTGCAGAGACGGTATATATGGAATAGTGGCGTATGGACTGTAACTGGTTGCCTCCAAGGGAGAGACAATATGCCTTGTGCTACTCTGAGGAATACTCCTGAGAGGAGCAGTGGGTGTAAGCCCTGGCTCAGGGCAGAGACACCCTGCTGTCCTCAACGGGTGTCCTGGACAAGGACTGGCCCCTGCAGCAGCTGGTAGGGCGGGATCCTGCATGTGGGCAGGGAAGAGGTGCAGAATAGCCCACCTCACATACACTGATTTTTGGACACCAGGTATCACTTGACAAAGCGAGATCTCTGATAGCTTTAATGCAATGAGTAGCAAGGTCCTGTTCCTACTGCAGTCAGTAACAGGAAAGGTTTTTCTCTGGGTGCTGGTTATCAGGATTCAGTGAGGAACCTTCTCCCTTGCTCATTCTCTGATAGGCATCTGCTGTGACTAGCTCTGCTTTTAACCCCTTTTGTTCTGTTTAAGTCTGCAGGTGAGGGGATTTTGCAAATCAAACAAAGCTCTGATGAGACTTCCACCTCCTTTCCAAAAAAACACCAAGACCATGGAAAAATTGTTTCCAAGAAGAAGGTGGGTTGTAGTTGAGGGAAAAGCAAACACAAAGCAGAATAATTTACAGAGGTTGTTTAACCCTTTCAGAGCTGCTGGTTCAAGCCAACTCATGGCAGCTCCTGTGATCCCCCCACTGGGCAGGCTCCTGCAGCGACAGGATTCATGCAGGACTTGCAAGGAAATGGAGCTGGAGCAAGGGATAGGAGCCAGCAGGAAAGATTTGGGCAGTTGATCAGGAGGTTGCACTTCTGTTTAAAAACAGCCAGAAAGGAGTCAGACTTTTCTCCAAAGATAAAAGGTCTATTGAAAATATCCTTGGGTTTTTTGCTACATATGTTGGCTGCCTTTTGCTTCAGGTGTACCACCAATACACACAACCAGCAATAAAGCACACGTAGAGAACAAAGGCTGAGTTCTCATTCCAGTAAGTTCTGTTAATAAATAGCTACATACAACGTAACAGTCCCTGAAAAGCCCAGGATTCAAGTGCTTTAAATAGAAAAAATCAGATTTCCTTTCTTTTATCTGTCTTGTTCTATAGGAGATATATTGGGGAAAGGTAAAGAAATATTTATAAAAGCACTCTTTTATTTTCAATATCACCATGAGATGTCTAGGCACTGACTGGACATTTAGAAAAACCAGGGTAAGTGAGGGCATAAGCAGAAATGTAATTCAGGTTGTCTTTTGAGACTCCTGAGAATACAGATGTGAAAACTTTTCACATATGATTTAATGGCCTCTTCATGGATATTTTCCCATTACAAATATGTAAATTATCATTAAATTACGAGGACACAGCCTAGCCAAAAACTAATGCTTGATTCTGATAAATAGCTTAATATTCATCTTTTCAGACTTATACCTTGCTCCTCATCTGCACAGAAGCCATTGCCCGAGATTTATCGTTGCAAACGCTCTGAAAGGCACCTTTTCACACAGGTAAACTGTGTCCTCCTGCTCCCCGCCAGTGGTTTGCTGTTCTGCTGGTTACAGCTGATATTACTCCTTGGTGTTCCCGACTTTAAGGCCTTGGAATCGCCCCTCTCCCTCTGCAGTGCTGCCATGGTTGCCAGGAAGGAAGGAGCGCAAAGGCAGCTGCCTCATCCCACTGCGCTCTGCCGGGTCCTGCTGCTGCCTCCGCTCGATGCCGCTCACACGGGCGAAGGAGAAGAACGTGCTTACTGCGAGGGCAGGTTAATTGATCCCTTTTTGAAAAATCATGTTGCTGAACTTGAACTTTAAGGATAATTATAAGGCATAAAGCAGCTCTGTTCTTTTCTGGAGCGTGTTCCGAGGTATTAATGATTCAACTATAAAAACCGAGGGTGCATAATGAACTGTTCAGAGCAACTAATGCTGACTAAATATTTCAAAAGTGGTTTTGTTCTGGTGTTTTCTTGTGTTTCATTAGGGTTGATTTTCAAAAAGCTTAAGCCTCACAGCTCCATCTAAAATAATTGGGAACTGGTAGTTGCTTATTACCAAAGCAGACACTCCCAATCCACTTTAAAATACATACAACTTTTATTGTCCCTTTTTTATTTCTTTTTCTTTTCTTTTAGTTTTTCATCTCAATTGGAGGTCATAACTTAAAAGAGAAAAGTTAAAAAACCAAACAACATTTCTCATTGTTTATCATGCTAGCCTCAATTTTTTAACTTTCAAAATCCATACAGTATAAGCTCCTTGTCCCAGAATAATTCCCTCTGGAATTATTATGATAAGAATTATTTGCCAGTAGTGCCATGTAAATAATTGATTTTTCAGTTCACTGACTGAACTGAAAAAAACTGGGGGAAAAAAATAATTTGTGTCAAATGAAATGCGTCATTTTATTTACAGATTTTAAATCCCATTTTAGAAATTATTTTCAAAATTTTTTTTAAACAACAATATTTCCAAAGGAAAAATTGTGCCTTTTTTGAGTTTTCAAAAAAATTAGTCAAAGCTGCTTATTAATGTGAGTTGAATTCTGATACTTTTAGCCATCCCAGACAGAATTTTCTTCTGTGAATAATTCATACTTCAAAAATACTAATCCTTTCTCCTGCTGAAGAAAACTAGATGACAAGCGAGCTGCGGAAGCATGCCAAAAGCACTTAGCATCCTCTAGCTAACTTAGATACTGAAAAAGAGCTGTTGGGTCACTTTACCTCTAGCCTTGTTGGTATAACAACTGGCACAATGAAATTATTTGTTGTGAGTAATTTTAAACAGTTCAGGAAATGAAGTTCTAACTGTATCTTTTCTTTTTAATTTGGGAAAACAATTCTTCTTTCATCTAATATATTTCAGTTCCTGACTTTGTGTAGAGAAAGATTACTTTCTTTTTCAAAAATACCACATGACTACTGTTTAATTATAGACACTACTTATTGTTATCTTGAAGCCACCAAACTGGTTAGATTTGCAAATGTTTTACTATTTCATATTAAAGCCAGTGGAATTAAACAAGATAGGAAAATTTTAAAGGCTTTTTAGTATTAGAATACTTGAGATAATCACAGAAGCACAGAATATTCTGAGCTGGAAAGGGCCCACAAGGACCATAGATGGTCTGTGAGTATGACTCCTAATGGGTGACTTGGTCTTCTTGGAGCTGGGTGGTCAGAGCTAGGCAGTCCTATTCACTGATCAGAACCAGATGGAAAGGAGCTCTTGAACCTCAAATGGTAAAAGGAGACCTGGCTTCTGGCATTGGCCTGGGAGCAGCAAGCAGGTGACATGTATGGATGTGTGTACAGGCCTGCCTATCGTGGTACCACCAACACTGGTTTTCCCCCAGGACCAAAATAGGTCTGCCACTGGGGTTAATACTTGCCCTAACCCCAAACTCATATGACATGGGACAAGAGGCTTTGTGTATGTCTGTGAAAAGGGGTTGATGACACTGCTTTGATAAGTGTAGGTGGCAAAGGGCTGGTAGTTTTAAAGCAAAGTCTTAAAATTCTGACCTAATGTCAGATGCAAATAAAATAATGATTGCTTTTGGCCTTCAAGTGCACTGAAACATTTATTATTCATGTTTGTTTTTAACAAATACTGAGTAAATCAAAGAATGTTCACACAGAAGCTGCACTGTCCACTGGGAAGCTGCGAACATGTTTTTGTTGTCTACAAAAACAGACATGCTGGGAGGTCGAATTTGATCCAGTGACTATTATTCCATGTACCAGAAGAACTAAACAACTTCATTTATATTTTAAATGTTTCAAATCAATACTTCCCTTCATATTGTGTGACCCCCGCCAGGAAACTCTTATAACTGAAAATTTAAGGAATAGATTGCAAGTTATGAATAATGTAAGGCTGTCATAGGGGAAAGCAAATTGTGAAATACTGCTGACAGAAACAATCAGTACACGTTTATACTGAAGAACAAACTTTAGCAATTCTGTCTTGCATAACACAGTTTTTAAAATCCCATACAAACTTTTCAGTTTTCCCTGAAATGTCAACCAGGCTTCCTCAGCATCAGACTCCACTGGAAAATATACAGGCTGTTTGTGTTCTCAAAGAATGAGCTAATCTGGAAGTAAAATGCTCATATATATATATATATATATATGTATAATAAATAGCTCTATGAAAAATAATGGAGAACTAACAGATGCAGGTAAAGAAAGAGCCTGGATTTGAAAAAAAAAGTCATTAATACCGGGATGTCTAGCAGCATCTATTTCTCAAGCAGCAGGCTATTACAAGGAACATATCTAGCAAGATGGGACAGGATCTGATTTGGGGCATAGACAGTCAGATGGTGAACAAGAGCTTCCTTGCATTAAAGCATTCTTTAGGGCATAAGGAGAGTGCTGTTCAAAATGAATTGGGTTTTATTTGCACATGGACAGAGAGTTGCCATCAACTGAAAATAAGACGTATTTGTCCTGAAGACCTGATGAGTAGGAAGAGACAAGGTGCCCTGAGAGTGTCCTTATAAGAATGCTTGCATGACACAGAGCTTTATCTTTAATGAACTTGGGCATAATTATGAGAAACCTGAATTATAAATAAAAAATCAAGAAGAAAAACATAATGATCACTTTATTAGAAAATATTTTTGTAAGTAATAACTCTGGGGATGAAGGAGTTGGTGTTTGTGTCTGATATGTTTTATAGCTGTGTTCTCTCTCTCGGACAGAGTTGCAGAGAAGAAGGATGGAGAAAGCTCCACTGGGATTTAGGATGGTGCCCACGGCAGTCATCACCTCCTGTCCCCACCATTACTGTTCATTGTTGTTCCTCATTTATTCTCATGGCTGCTCAGCATTTCCTTCTGTTGACCTACACAAGCCAGGAGGGGGGAGCATTACACAGGACACAGAATTGCCCCCAGATCTTGTTAAAGCTGTTCTCTGCTTTCACACAGAGCAAAAAACCTCAGGAGAGGAAAAGGGCAGCACTTGTGGATTTTCTGCTATATACAGATTTATCATGATATATAGCAAATGGACTGAACCAAATGACTTAGTGGCCAATATAATCATATCACAAAGGTAACAAGCTTCTGGCACCTGTTTAAGCTGCTTCTAACAGAAGTTGAATGTAGCTTTCAGAATACATTTCTATTCCTTTTTTTTTCCTATGCAAATCACTCCTGTGTTTTGTCTCTGTTTTACCCCTTTATGATATTGTCTGGGTTTTCAGATGCTGACCTACCTCTGAAGATAAAGAACTTCATAAAATAAGAGAAAAAAAAGTCTTAGTCTGTAACAGGATTCTGTTGAGATGCATGCACTGCAGACTGTGAACTCCAAGAGCAGCCAGGACAAAACAGTTGTCGCCTTCTCGGTCTTACTGGCCCTGGCTCCTGTGACTGCAAGGCAGGACAAGTGCCCTGGGCTGTTGCTGGCAAATTTCTTAGGACGAAATCTCCCCTACACCTCAGGGCAATTCTTTCTCTTTCTTGTTTGACTAATTTAGTTATAGCAGCTGAATTTTTAAACCTGATTTCTTTTAAAATCTGCTAAATTTATGAGGATATGAAAAAGTACACATTTTATGTGCTAGGAGTTAGAAGGAAGCTCCTGTATAAAGAGCACTGAGACTGGACTTTGTGTTATATTAACTATGTTTGCATTGCAGCAAATATTTGCACAACCCTCCAAAAGGTCTCTCTTCTGTTACAACATACACTCAGCCAAATTTAAATTGCAGAACCTTTTTCTTTGGGAGTAGGCCTTTTTTGTGGTCTTAATATGGGGAAGACATTTTTCAAAAGCCCTATTATAATAAAACACAATCAAAATTTAAGAAATCCCTAATTTTTTCCAAGAGTCAGCCCTAAACCACCTTTAGGTCATTTAATTTTAAATGCCAAATGCCTCTAAAAATCTGATGTGATGCTCTTTGGATGAAGCCTTTAGAGCATATATCTCTCCTCTCCACAATTCACAAGCAGGCTCCATGTCAGCTACACTCTACTTGTGCATTTGTTAGTCAAAACCTGGGTATGACTGTACAGTGAGGAAACCGATGAACTGCGTTAAAACTATATATTGCACCTGCTTGTGGAATCAAAAGACATAACCCTTTGTCATTCTGGTGGTATGGCTGTCTTGCATCCCTCCTCTTTAAAGCATCTATATTTTATGAAGCATTAACAGACAAACAAACAAACACATAGACCACAAAATCCAAAGTCTGCATTAGTCTCCAAAAGTAGCCATTGGAAAGAAGAGATATTTCAGAATCTGATCTCTCAATATAGTCATTCAGTATCTGTAAAAAACAAAAGTGCAGATGTATATTTTAAGACATCAAGTCTAAAACATGAGATATTTGTACATGTCAGAATGGAGGCTGTTGTGGTCATCTACCTGAAAGGATTACTACTGGAAGGAATCACCACGTTGATAGTTACTTCTGCAGTGACTAACTGATCTATCTGATGAGAAGGTAAAATGATACAAACTGGTTTGGATGTGTAAGGATTCTACACTGTTGAAACTTTCTTTTGAGACATGTACAGTAGAGGAGAAATTAAATGTTATTTTACTTTTCCTTTCATCCAACTGTTTCTCCACTTCCCCTTCACCATTCAGGAAAAAATCAAATGGAAAAGGGGGATGGAACCCTTTACTTCTCTCCATCCCCCACTCCCTCTCCCATCTAGCTTCTGGATTGGGTTAAACATTTTCAGTACCAGAATATTAGCAATTAATGACACTCAGATTGTTTGATCTTTACCTCATTAATAACTATAACTCACCATTCTGGAATCACAGCTTCCCACCTTTTAATTTTTCTCCTGTGTTGCAGAGAGGAAGTAACTGCCCTTGCTGGCAGACTGCAATTCCTATGGGACACAAGTCATTAAAAATGTAACTGGCTCCTTGCTGTTTCGCTGTCCTGCTGGAAGAATTATTTCAGGGGCATTCAAAGGAAGGGAGGCATGGTTCCATAAGCACAGGATCTTTAATGAAGCTTGCTAAATGATAAGCAATTTTCTGCATTGACAAAGTATAATAGGTTTACTTTTTCTTTGTAAATTGAGATGTTCCTGCTGAAGGTTTCAATTCCTTCTTTGAGCCACATGGGCAGCGACTCCCCCCACACTACAACTAAAGGAGTCATGATCACCAAAGACAGAAACAAAGACAGTGAGAAATGAGCAGCTGGAGGGATGCAGGGTGTGGGAGGAGGGAAGGAGGATTTCCCAAAGTGGGTCACTGACAAAACAGATGCCTTGTCATACTGCAGCTCTGTCCCCTGTCCCAACTGCCCTCGCTGCACCCTGTTCCTGCCATCTCTGCTCCCCCAGTGGAGCAGAAGGTTGTGGGACCTTCTGTGCTCTAACTGGGGGGTGGAAATGGCAGGCTTTTTAAAAAAAAATTTCAAGTCAATTCATGGTTGTGCTTACATGACACAATCAACAGCCTCAGTTCTAACTGGGAAGAAACAGCCCACAGTTCAATAAATACAATGAGAAAAATCTAAGGCCAATTAAAAGGGATCAGCCACTGAGGGAATGAATATCATGTTCCCTCTCCTGCACAAAATGCTACCAGAGGTTCCTGGACTTCAGTTCATGTTCATGTGGCTTAGACTGACTTTCTGAACAGGCCTAAACAAAAGCTCTATAGAAGCATTACCAAACCAAAGAAGTTAAATTACTGTGTTTATGACAACTTCAGTAAACACCATCCCAAAGTCTAAAGATTCTTAATGCACAAGAGAGTTAGAGAGGAAAATGAGTAAAATCAGTTTTATCGAATATAAAAGTCAGAAACAATAAACGGTTCTGCAACCGTTCTGTCTCTGGTAACTTGCATTAAAATATATATAAAGTGTTCTGGGAACTGAAGCAATGCTTCAGTTCAATAAAACTAATGCAATTAAAGAGAAAGAATCCTGTTTTTCCTCTGCTTGCAATTTCAAATGAGAGCTTCCTAAAACTTGTGACCATCGCTGGAATCCAATTCAGGACCTCAGCTTATCAAATTCCCAGCTCTGGCACCATGCCTGTGAGGAATTATAAAGTGCTGCTCATCACAACATCTCTGTCTATAAATGCTCCACATAACTTTAAAGTGCAGACACCCCATTTTGAAACAGGTAAGTGTTCACTGTGAACCAAAATGGCATCACCAAACATGTGCAGCCTTCAGCCAGTGCTTCTCCTTTTGCAAGGCAACAAAGGAAAACGTGTTAGCATGAAAGGTCTCCCTATAACATTTGTTTAAACTTGGAAAGCTTTGCAGGACAGCACACCCACACAAAGCCACAGGTTTTCTAGATCCTGTAGACCAAGCATCTTATTCTGTAATCCATTCCAGGGATGAGAAACTGCCAGGCTAATGAGCTCTCCTGCAGCCTCTTCCCCCTGCAGGTGCTTCCCTGGAAGGATAATCTTAAATCAGACACTGCCATGCCAGATAAAACTCCCGCAAAAAACACCAACCCTCCCTCCCAACATAGCTTGAGCAAGCCTCAGCAGCATCTGACTTTGATGCAATCACAAACTTCTTTTCCATTCAGACAGTCGGAGCCAAATTAATTCCTCAGCATCTTTAATGCTGAGAGCCACGTCTTGGGAATTTAGTACAGGAACATATTAATCTCTCTAATAGGTGATAGTGCAATATATTACTGATGGGGGAGCCAGTATGTCAGCACTGTGATAGTGACCCTGACCAGCAGATGACTGAATGGGTAAGGGGAGGAGGAGCTGCTCTAGCTTGAAGGCACAGCCTCAACTTTGGCAGGCAGTTCTTCACTCTTGTCCTACTACTAATTTTCCAATGCATTACTTTGTCGCTTGGGTATCCAGAAAAGCTCATTATGAAGGTATGTGACAGCCCCTGATAATACATGTCTGTGGCAAAATAATTGATCCCTCTTTGCAGCAGTGATCTTTAATGCTCATAGGGCATGGGAGGTTATTAGATGGCAGGCACCTTTTGCTGGTCTCTAGTGTAATACGTTACCAGACAGCAATGCGCCAACTATCTATCACTTAAAAATAATGTCATCCCTGAAGAAGGGCCTGGCAGCTGAGGTTAGGGGAGGAAGAGAGTTTAATTATATTTATGGATGAAAAGATGTCCTGAGAAGAGTGAGCAGCCTGTTTATTTATTGGCTGTTCAAAAGGGCTCAACACAATATAAGAAAAAGATCAGGCTTTGCGTTACGGTGGTTCACATTGCTGTTACAGACTACAGCCTTGAAATCAAGTTCAAGATGAAGAACAAAATTACCTCTTACAATATGTGGTTTACTTCTGCAAATGAAAAGGGTAAGAGATGTATTAGTAACGCTGGCATTAGTGGAGGCAGCTGGTTTTAGCTATTTGGTATTTCGGGGATGTGAGTTTAGCATCGTTACTAGAAGTACAGGTTACTATATTCCTCTGCTAACTTTCCAACAGTGAGCAGATGGTTACCCTATTACCAACCATTTGCATTTAACATATTGTAATGATTTATATACCACATGTCACCCAGCAAAGTGAAAACAGTAAATGGTAACTAATTAGTTGAGTGTGAAGAAGCATATCTCAATGTATATATCCTTATTGTAATAAAATTTTATCTTTTTGGTTGTTAATAGATTTAATGTGCAGTGTAACAGAAATACTGGTGGCAGTTAAATGTGAACCACCATGTCACTCTGCGTTCAGGACAGCATTGCTATCATTAACATTTGTACCACTACTCCCTTCCATGCCTGTTTTATGAGTGATGGTGCACAGAGGACAGATTATAACCATCCACTGTGCTTCTCTACCAATCTTTCTTAAGTGTATTTCAAAGTACTTTATAAATCTTAATGTATCAGATACTGGCTAATATCATGGAATAACACACATCTGGAGAGGGTGGAAATGGGCATGCTGCATGGCAGAGAGGAAAGACACTCTGCATAGCTACCTCAAAGACACAAATAGATTTAAGGGAGAAAATGAAAAGAATCAAAAGTCTTCCAGGGAGTTTACAAGGAAGAAGCAGACAACTACTGACATTTTCAAAAACATCAAAGTCAGAAGATAAACTCAAGGGTTCAAAGAAAGAGCATAATTTTAGAAAACTGCCCTCCAGCACTAGAATAGGGGTTTATGTATGTACCATGTATTGCATTATCCACGGTATGT